GACAAGACAAGCAAACTTCCTTGCATGTTGTTGACAGGTGAAAGTTTTAGGGGGAGCAAGACTTGCATAAATGTACAGGACACTCTGCCAAACAATTGTTTTATTGTAATACTCTGCAGCTCAGGTGTTTCCTGAGCCAGACATAGTTTCTAAGAATTAATAACTCTCCCTGGATTTCTCTGCAAGGAATTGTCTAATGTCCCTTTGAACTATGGGCATTAACAATATCCTTCTGCATTCAATTTCATTAAAATGTTTCCTTATTTTTTCAGTTTCAGTCTTAATAATTTCTAATATAGTATTTGCTATTTGAGTGACTCAAAAAGCATCAAAATGGTTTTGTCAATTACCACAATTGACATTAACTGCCAGATTTGTAGCCTTAGCAGCAGTACTTCAACAATATCAGTTTTCACTCTGGTATTTACCTGAGCACTTGCATTTTCCTTGAGACTGAGGGAAGTCTTAGAGATTCCCAGTCAACACACCAGAGAAGTCTGTCTGTTTTGTAATATTTCTCCCTTGTATATTCAGACAATGGATATTATTCAAGCTACTGAACCAGCCCTTCTGCAGTAAGGCCCTAGAAATGACTCTTTAATAAAAGCAAGGGAGGAGAGGGAAAAAAAGTCTCTTGCAAAAGTTCTTGGGTAAATGCAGATGCTGTGTGGCAAATAATCAGAGCATGTTTTCAGCTCTTACCAGTCTCATAAATTGGTTTCCTGTTTTTTCAGAGAGTCTATTTATATCATCCAGTACAACATTCGTGCATTCATGAATGTCAAACACTGGCCATGGATGAAGCTGTACTTCAAGATCAAGCCCTTGCTGAGGCCAACATGAAGGAAGAGTTTGAGAAAACCAAGGAAGAGCTTGCAAAGTCTGAGGCAAAGCGGAAGGAGTTGGAGGAGAAAATGGTGGCCTTGGTGCAGGAGAAAAATGACCTGCAGCTCCAGGTTCAGTCTGTGAGTAAGCTCCGTTTTCAGATTCACCCCACCTCCTCTTACTCTGCTGCTCTTTTTCTCCTCTTTTCCATTGCCCTCTATAAACAGACATGGAATGGGGACAAAGCCTCCACTGCTTTGTGTCTGGTCTTGTCCCTTACACCTAAGCAAGGTGCAAAGCCTATACCAAACATTAACACCAGTAAGAATGCAGGAAGCTCCAGCGCTGTCACCAGTGGAAGAATCAGACATTTCACAGTGCCTATAATGTGCTCCTCACTGTGGTGTCTGTTTCTGGATGAAATGTAGGCTGTTTCCACATCTGCTGCCATTATAATACAGAGCCAGGGCAGGGCTGCTTTTCTGTCAGAGGCAGGACTGAGACTGTGGGAACTGCTTTTCTCTGGAATACAGCCAGAGACTGAAATTGCACCTGCCGGGTTCTAAAAGGTAATAAAATATTACATGGCCAAGAGCAGTCTAGTGCAAGTGGACTTGTCACTTGTTGCCATGTGCTTTCAAATCAGTTAAGTTTTAAAAAAATTGTATTGTTTCACTCGCCAAGGGTCTTAACTGCTTTTTGTCATTTTTATGATAAATATAATGTGCCTTCAATGTATTCTGATAGGAGAGTGAAAATCTAGCTGATGCTGAAGAGAGATGTGAAGGACTCATTAAAAGTAAAATCCAGCTAGAAGCTAAAATTAAAGAATTAAATGAAAGACTGGAGGATGAAGAGGAGACAAATGCTGAACTGACAGCAAAGAAGAGGAAACTTGAAGATGAATGCTCAGAACTGAAGAAGGATATTGATGATCTTGAAATGACTCTGGCCAAAGTGGAAAAGGAGAAGCATGCAACAGAGAATAAGGTGACAGAGGAATCAGGGAATTATTCTTCCCCAGACAGTGCTCCCATACAACCTGTCAAAATAATGTAGCCACTTATAACTTCTATGAATAGAAGTGAAATGTGTCCTATGCATAGGAGAGAGGTATTTTCACTTAATCAATCAGCTGATAGAATTTTTTCTGTTAAGGTTCTTTGTCATGCCATCATGGTTTGTTTCACTTTTAGGGAAAATTTAGCATATTTTTGGCTATGCTTAACGTTTGATCATCTCTTTTTAAAGAACCTGACTTGCTGAGAAATTACAGCAGTTTTCATAGCAAATATACTCAGGAAAGACATTCCTTGAGCAAGAGCAACTCAGAGGGCTTTTGTAAATCCCAATGGGAAAAACTTTCAGAGGCAAGTGAAGATCTAGCACATTTCACTATAAAGTTTAGTAGGATAGGGATGGGGATCAAAAACAACTAAAGAATTCCTACCATTGCAGGACCAGAGAGATGAGACTCTCAGGCATGATATATGCTGCTGCCCTCATTGCAATCAATATAAATATTCTGCAGAGAGCATTTTGACTTCATCCATGCAAGGTTTTGCAAGGATGCAGCCACTGTGTTCTCAGTCTGCCACTTCTCAGCCTCATGAGATGGATGCTGGCTGTCTGACAGGTAAAGAACCTCACCGAAGAGATGGCAGCTCTGGATGAAAACATTTCTAAACTCACCAAGGAGAAAAAGGCTCTCCAGGAAGCCCACCAGCAGACACTGGATGACTTACAAGTTGAGGAAGACAAAGTCAGCACCCTCACCAAAGCCAAGACCAAGCTGGAGCAGCAAGTGGATGATGTAAGAAGTTTTTGGGTTGTGTATACCTAGGCTGTGACAGATTGCAGTGGGCTGGAAATCTGCAGTTCAGAGTATAAGCAACACCTAAAGCAGACAGGCTTTTTTTTTTTTTTGGCTCTGATAATTTTAGCCAAAAAATCTCTGCTAATTGACAGGAAATTGTGGAATCCAGCACATCTTTCATGTTCATCATGGGGCATTTCAGAACTGTTGAATTTTGTGATCTGATTTAACCCATTAGCTGAAGCAGGAGACCTGTGACTATTTGAATGTTGCTGCAGACTTATTTGTGTGTGCATATACTCCAGGAAGTTATAAATACTGCAAATTTGTGTATATTTAGCAGTCTATATGCTAGGAACTGCAGCTACTGCAAAAATTTAATTTCTGTTTTCCCAGTAACAGGTATTTCAACTGTGTACAGCCAAGCTGTGGCCAGTTCAGTGTCTGAAACAAAATCACCATGGCAGCTCTGGTCTTACAGTGAGAGTGCAGAACACGTGGAGATGCCCTGATTATTTTCTCTATTAATCAATTTCCAACTTAGTTAGATTTTTAAATCAAAAATAGTTACTTTCAAAGTATAATTTATGTATTTCAAAGTATGTTTTATCTGTTTTAGCTTGAAGGATCTCTGGAACAAGAGAAGAAGCTGAGAATGGACCTTGAGAGAGCAAAGAGAAAACTAGAGGGTGATCTGAAAATGTCTCAGGATTCCATCATGGATCTGGAAAATGATAAGCAACAAATGGATGAAAGGCTAAAAAAGTATTACACCGACTTCTTATGCTCTGAATTCTGAAATTCGTATTTTATCTTAACCATATTGAATTTGCCTTCTTCTTTAACAGAAAGGATTTTGAAATTAGCCAGTTGCAAAGTAAAATTGAGGATGAGCAGGCTCAAAGTTCTCAGCATCAAAAGAAAATTAAGGAGATTCAGGTAAAGTCTAGGAGTTATTAATAATTTTAGTTGCAAGCACAAATTTCTTAGAATTAACTGGTATTTATTCTTAGACCATTTGACAAAAATATTTTCCTTCACATAAATAAAATTATTAATAGGGGACTCTGGGTGCTGTTCCCATCTCAGGGCACTTTTACAGAAACTCTGGCCCCTAATTCTACATAACTATGTAGGAAATTTCTTATGTGAACATTTTGGCAGGCTTTAAAATTGCCACAGATGTGCAGCCACTGAGAATCACTTTTCTAAGAAAACAATAGAATGTGACTTAATATGTCATGATGAGGACAAAGACCACCTCCTAAATGCAGAACCAGGAAATCAGCTCTCTTCAGTACTATTATCCCATGATTGTTCATCTTGAAGTTCTTTCCATCCTGTTTGCTGATGGAGAAAGGACAGTGCTTTGTTCTGGCCTGACTTCTAGGAAATTTCTTAGAAATTCACATTCCTTTACATTTTCCAGTGACACCCCCTCTATTTCTTCAGCTGAAGCCTTCACACAATAATAAATCCATTCTGAGCTATAACATACAGGATCAGATTTTACACTCACTATTGTTCCAAAACGAATATTACCTGTCCTAGGGCACAATACAGTGAAATTTCTGGCGGTACTTCTGTTTTTACGCTTGTATTAACAGATGTGAATGTTTGCTCCTTATTCCTTAGTGATAATTTTAAATCTGTCCTTTCAAAAGTCTTCTCTTAACCAATTAACTCTCATAGGCTCGGATAGAGGAACTGGAGGAGGAAATTGAGGCTGAACGTGCCATCCGTGCCAAGTCTGAAAAGCAGAGAGTTGACCTGTCCAGGGAGCTGGAGGAGATCAGCGAGCGCCTGGAGGAAGCAGGAGGGGCCACAGCAGCTCAGGTGGAGATGAACAAGAAGCGTGAGGCAGAGTTCCAGAAGATGCGGCGGGACCTGGAAGAGGCCACGCTGCAGCACGAAGCCACGGCTGCCGCCCTGCGCAAGAAGCACGCGGACAGCACCGCTGAGCTGGGGGAGCAGATTGACAACCTGCAACGTGTGAAGCAGAAGCTGGAGAAGGAGAAGAGTGAGCTGAAGATGGAGATTGATGACTTGGCCAGCAACATGGAGTCTGTCTCCAAAGCCAAGGTTTGCACAGGAAGAAGGATTTCTCATGTTAGCATTGCACTTCTGAACAACGCGATGAACGCAGGGATGTTTTCTATCTCTTCACAGAGCAATCTGGAAAAGATGTGCCGAGCTCTTGAAGACCAGTTCAGTGAAGTCAGAGCCAAAGATGATGAACATGTGAGGCTAATTAATGATCTGAACACACAGAAAACACGCCTACAGACTGAGAATGGTATGTCCCTTGATGAAATGTATTACTCCAGTGTCAAGTACTTAACTATGCTGCCTGAATGCCCGTGTGTTTTGTAACATATTCATCACTTGGTGATCCGAACAAAATTCAGAATGTAGGATCTCCTCCTGGTGGCAGTCATAGAAACCTACCCAAGGAAACACAAAACCAAACCAGAAGGAGTACTGTCAGTCAAAATGAACATGTGAGTTTGTGGTCAGTTTGTCTTCTTTTCTTTGATGCCAGCACGGCATTTCTCTTTAACAGCTTTTCCCATCTGTGGGAATGCAATTACTGCTCTCCCTTCAATTTACCACTTTATGTGTTGTAATCACTTTCCACATGACTAGCTGCTCTCATTCATTTATTTTATGTCTTGTATCTCTAAGAAAATCGACTTTTTCTTGTTAGGTGAACTTACTCGGCAACTGGAGGAGAAAGAGTCCTTGATTTCTCAGCTAACTCGAGGCAAACATACATTCACTCAGCAGACTGAAGAGCTGAAGAGACAACTGGAGGAAGAAAATAAGGTGACTTGGTTTCATTTGGAACAACAAATTTTAAAATAAATCAATGCGATAAAAAGAATAAATGAGATTTCTCCTCAGAGAAGAGACATCAGAATAGTGAAAATTTTGAACTTTGCCTTGGAATATTAGACAGAGGGGAGGCATTAAAAATTAAATAAGCAAGACAGTTTATGTCCTTCTCATCATGCATTCTAAAGATCAAAAACATGAGAGAAATGAAGGAAAGCAGCTCTGTGCCCATAGTCAAAGCAAACAGCAGCAGCCAGAAAAAGGAAATAAAGCAGGAGTGCTTGCACTTTGTCTGTTGGTGGATTTATTTTGCCTCTGCCTGAAACACCTGGTGCAGATGTGTTTGAGAATTGTTATCCCAGAAGAAATGGGCAAGCACCTGAGCCTGCTTAACAACATCAAGCCTGAAACCCAGAATCCCTCACATTATTTATTTTCTTCCTTCTGTTCCTCTAGCAACTGTAGCACATGGACAGGCAGATATGAATATTTTATCAGACTACAGGAAAAATAACCAGTCACAAATTATTTGTGTTCTGACAACTTGTTTAATTTTAACTACCAAGGCCAAGAACGCCCTGGCCCACGCCCTGCAGTCCGCTCGCCACGACTGTGACTTGCTCCGGGAACAATATGAGGAGGAGCAGGAGGCCAAGGGGGAGGGGGGAGCTGCAGAGAGCCCTGTCCAAGGCCAACAGCGAGGTGGCTCAGTGGAGAACCAAATACGAGACAGACGCCATTCAGCGCACGGAGGAGCTCGAGGAGGCCAAGTACGTGGAGGGATGGCTTGGAGAAAGTAGAAGGATATTTAAGTATAATAAGTGAAGAACTGAAGGAAACCAGAATATGTTTGTAGTGGTAATATGCAGAGCAGTGTGCTTTTTAATATATTAGAAGTGAAAAGGGGAGTGAGTAGATATTTAAAAGAGAAGTATGGGTGGAAACTTAGGGGCTCAGGTTGAGGCTTATTCTCCTACATAAAGGAGAATTCCAGTGCATTAAGTTCATAATAGTAGTTGAAAGAGCACATTCTTTACACTGTCAGTATTGAAAGCATATTTTTGGTCCCTCTCCACATTGGTACAGCTCATACTTGGTGCGTATTCTCCCAGTCTGTGCACATCACTTCAGAGTGCTGTGCCACCCCATGCTCTGAGCACCACAGCACTATATATTGCTCTCTCTGCCCATCTTCCCCATCTAAACTCCTTTCACGTTCATTTCCTGAGAAGGTCAGAATTTTCTATTTCTCAGTGCTGAATGTCCCATCCTGCAGGAAGAAGCTGGCCCAGCGCCTGCAGGAGTCAGAGGAGCAGATTGAGGCTGTCAATGCAAAGTGTGCTTCACTGGAGAAGACAAAGCAGAAGCTGCAGGGGGAAGTGGATGACCTCATGATTGATGTGGAGAGGTCACATGCAGTCTGTGCAGCATTCGATAAAAAGCAGAGGAACTTTGACAAGGTTTGTTCAAAAGACCATGCCAGATCTAAACATCATTAGCTATTTGATAGGACAAGACAAATTCTGAAATGACCAAAGTTCTGCACTCACAGTAAAAGAAATTGCATTTTACCCAAAGCAAAGTTATGATAAGGACACCATAGAGGGAAATATGGTAATGAAAAAGCCACTGTGTGAGTAACCCCAGGTGATCACAGCAAATAATAAAGCAGCCTTCTGATAATTTTAAAAAGCATGAAGTTTTCACAACAGAGACTGCTCAAACAGCCTGAGTACTCACATGCAAGCTAACAAGCCCTGGTGCTAGTCTGCCAGTCTAACCTTGAGGTTAGGCAGAGCCTCAGACTCATGTTATTTCAGCCTTCAATGCTCTTACTAAAGGATCTGCACTGTTGGATCAAGTGATGCTGCACAGCCCTGTGTTCTGGCCTACCCTGGTGTGAGTGAAAAGGCTGTGCTAAAAAGGGATCTTACAAGTCTGTGGTATCAAACTGAGGAGAGAATTGGTAGAGAATGACCTTTCTTGGTGGGCTTAGTCCAGGACCACTGGCTCCTGTAACACTATCAAGTCTCACATATCCAGACCTATCATTCATATCATTTATATCCAAACATATCATTCAGACCAACTACATTATGTTCGGGCTGGTTTCAATCCAAACTCCTTCCTGACAGCCTGGGGCATGCACTAGTGTTGATTGAAGAGGCAAATTTAAGTAGATCCCACCAAAACAACCAGAGTATGCATCACAGGGAGTTATTGTCACAGGCAGAGTACAACAGCAAAGGGCTGTTAGGCTAGGCCAGGCCTCTTGGGTTCTTGTCACATAAAGGTGCAGAGATGGAGTGTTTCAGAACGGGTCATTCTTCTCCTGTCACTCCAGATCCTGGCTGAATGGAAGCAGAAGTACCAGGAGAGTCAGACTGAGCTGGAGGCTGCCCAGAAGGAGTCTCGCGCTCTCAGCACCGAGATCTTCCGGATGAAGAACGCCTATGAGGAAATGCTCGACCAGGCTGAGACTGTCAGACGGGAGAACAAGAACCTCCAGCGTAAGTTCACGTGTCTGTCAGCTCAGGTTCACTGTCTGCCCTTAGATGCTTCCACATTTCTGGACTACCAGAGCTCTGCCTCTTCCCAGGGTTTTGTTCTTTATGATTTTCCCACAAAGGTGGTGACTTTCTTCCCTGTTCAGCTGATTATAAAGTCACCTGCAAGCACACACTTTCATCTCTGCAGCATCCTGCTTCCTCAGGATGTTCCCCCTTCTTCAAACCATCATAATCCTTTGCATGGATAAGGACCAAGTTAACTGAATAGGCAGAAATTATGATGATACTCAGTGTTTTCAGACTGCTTCAGTCACTGCCACTGGAAAAAATCTGGAGGGCTGTTGTCTGTCTCCTGATTATTGGAGGATTGTGCAGCTGTGGCACAATGGATTAGCATTTAATAAGCAAACTAATTATAGAAAGGAAATACAATTCAGATCCTTTTTGTGAACTGAATGATCACTGGGGATTATCTAAGCACAAAGAAATCAATCAAACATGACTGTCTCTGGAGATGTAATTTCACTACCCAGACAAAGCTGACATTTTTTTCTGAGCTCACTTCAGTTGGTCCCTCTCATTTTCAAATTGCACACTGAACTGGAATGTGCAGGTTATCAGAAATAAAGATTGCACACAAGACAAGATGTATTATTTCTTCTCACTGTTACATCCCATGACACCAGAGTCTCTTCTGTCACTCCCACTGCCAGAGAGCAATTGCAGGTGCCACAGATCACACTGTCTGAGAGGAGCTGAGTATGTGTTTTCTGGTTGCAGAGGAAATTTCTGATCTGACTGAACAGATTGCTGAGTCTGGAAAAGCAAATCACGGGCTGGAAAAAGCAAAGAAGCAAATTGAGCAAGAAAAGTGTGACCTACAAGCAGCATTAGAAGAAGCAGAGGCAAGTGTCCTCAGTCAGAGGCTTGCTTTTAGAGAAATCACAAATGGAGAAAATTTGGGTATATATTTTATATTCCTGCTTATCCTGGAACTGTCCCAAAAGTGCAGAAAGACAGCACAGACAGACCAAAAAGCACAAGGACTGCTCCCCTGCCATACCAATGTGCCATACCTTGCTGTGCTATCATCACAAAAACCTCTCAGCCCCAGTCTAAAATTGAGCTCATTTGGCACTATCTGTTTGAATTTGCTCCCAAGGAAGGCTGAAAAAAGTCACCAGCATTTCAAAACTCTGCCAGTTTTGTTTTCTAGTCAAATTAAGAAAGGATGTTTCCAGAGAAGGTCAAATCCATACTTAAAAGTTTTCTCAATCTGCTCAAAGCAAGATGAATGCTGAAGAGAATTGAGGCAACATTTCTTCAGTTCCACTACTTTCCATGAGCAGGAGTCAGTAACAGGTTGAAAGGGGAGCCAGTTCACAGGACACAGGTTCTGATGAACATTGAGAGGTTGCTGGGGGTCTGCTGAATCTCACACTACACTGGTGCACTGTCACACACTGCTGGCACAGGCTGCATACTGGGTCTCACAATTCCATGATTCCTGTCTACCTTACTCTCTTTGGCTACCCCTCAGCTCCCCATTACTTTAAATCTTTAAATCTTACTTTTTTTGCTAATCCATGCCAGATTGTAGCTCCTTCAGTTCCCTCTTGTCTGGGCTCTGCCTTCTGTTCTATATCTTTCCTCTTGGAAAAGATTTTATTACTTCTGTATAGCCACCTATGATTCTCCACAAAATATCTTTGTGAGCACTTCATGAGCTGCCCATGGTATACTCTCAAACACAGAGACACATAATTAACTTAGCTTGTACAGGATCCCTAGAAGTCTTTAGTCAACTTCCTGGTCAAAGAAGGGCAAATTTTGAACTTACATTAGGTTGCTCAAAGCCTTGTCTAAGTGGTTTTTAAAATTTTCAAGGATGGGGATTTCAGAGTATTGCTGGACAACCTTTTCCAGTGCAACATCGTTCTCAGGGTAAAACATTTTATACCTATATCCAGGATTTTCCTTGTATAGACTTTCGACAGACCTTTTGTCTTTTGTTGTCCACCACCAATAAAAGCCTCACTTTATTTTCTCTTTAACTCCTCTTACGTTGAAACAGAATTGTAAAACAACTGGCACATCTCTAGATCTCACTAAATGGGTAGGCAGTAGGAGCAAGAGTTATTGTGATCATGTAATCCATTTACTCTAATTTATGCATCTAAATATGGTCAGTCTGATCCTGAATTAGTCTCACAGGCTCATTCTAGCATCCAAAAGGAGAATCAGGCATCTCTGGAAAATATGTTTTAAAAGGGATGCCAGGGCTACATCACCTGTTTTATTCTCTGCATGTGCTTATTTCTGTCCACTGGGTGCAAAGACCCAGCTTCAGGCTTTTCATTGGTACTACATCTGAAGCTGGAGGACACCAGAGGGAACGAAATGAGTACCAGAGGGGAAGATTGTGTGAAAGGGCAACTTGCCCCCACAGTCACTGGGGTGGGACAAAGCAGAAATCAGCAGGGAGATGCAAGAGAAGGCAGGCTGCTTCTGAGCAGGAGGCTTGGCTGTCCTGTTTAATATTTCCACATGATGTGTTGTGTCCCCAGTGTCACCACAGCCTTCAGAGCCCAGACCCTGTGGTATCTGAGGCATTTTCCCATGGAATATTATTCCTAAATTTAATATCTAGCTGGGGTACAATGAGTATGGAATAACAGTCAGCTTTTTCAGTGCTTGGTCTTCTCTAAAGGTCCATGGTAAATAGGGATTATTTTTAATAATAAGGCAAATACACCTGCCCTCCCAGCTGCAAAGGGTCACATTTCTGCATGGGCATTTCCCAGCAATGGACACTACAGAGACAAACTATGATGTTTCAACCCTGACAGGGCTCTTTAGAGCATGAAGAGGGGAAAATCTTACGTGTCCAGCTGGAGCTGAACCAGGTGAAGTCAGATGTTGACAGAAGGACTGCAGAGAAAGATGAGGAAATTCAACAGCTGAAGAGGAATCACCAGAGGGTGTTAGAGTCTATGCAAACCATGCTGGATGCCGAGGTCAGAAGCAGAAATGATGCTTTGAGGCTGAAAAAGAAGATGGAAGGAGATCTGAACGACATGGAAATACAGCTGAGCCATGCCAATTGTCAGGCAGCAGAGACACAGAAACACCTTAAAGCTGTGCAGGGGCAGCTCAAGGTAGGGACCACAAGGCTACTGTCCCGTGGGTCTTTGCCATTCCCTCTCCTTGCTTCTGGGTCTCACAACAAGTGCTTTCACCTTTTAAGGATTCCCAGCTCCATTTAGATGATGCCTTGAGAGAGAACGATGACCTGAAAGAGCAGCTTGCTATAGCAGAGCGCAGGAACAGTCTGATGACAACAGAAATGGAGGAGATGCGAGCTGCCATGGAGCAGACCGAGCGAGCCCGCAGGGTTTCTGAGCAGGAGCTGACGGATGCCAGTGAGAGAGTGCAGCTGCTCCACTCACAGGTACTCGGCATCTCCTGGAGATTGCTAGAAATGAAGTGGGAGTGGCACAAATGGGGTGGGCGTGGCACAAATGAGGTGAAACTGGCAGAAATGAGGTGGGAATGGCACAAATAGGGTGGGAGTGGCAGAAAAAAGGTCAAAATGGCACAAACGAGGGGAAAATGGCACAAACAAGGTGAAAATGGCACAAATGAGGTGGGAATGACCTGTCTGCTGATTGCCCCAACAGAACACAAGCCTCCTCAACACCAAGAAGAGACTGGAAGTGGACATAACTCATTTACAGACTGAAGTTGAAGACAGTATTCAGGAAGCCAGAAATGCAGAGGAGAAAGCAAAGAAAGCCATCACAGATGTGAGTTCTCTTGCTTGCCTCCTTTCCATTTTGTACTAGTCACTTTTTTTGTGTGCCATTTTGCACAGTCACTTTCACAGTTTAGAAAGGCAGCAATCAGGTGGAGGAGAAGCAATTCTTCAACAGAAAATATCTGAGACACACAATCCCTTCCACATGGGCCTCATGCAGCCATTGCCCTGGTACTTGTCACAGAAGACTCCTTCAGAAAGGGTCCTCCTGTCCTGCTAGGTGTCTATATTGAAAAGGCATTTTCTCTCCCCTTCTCTATACCTATTCACTTTTGTTTCCAGAGTAAATGTAATAGGCAGGATAGAACAGATGGTGGCAAAACTGTAATAGAAAAAGAGTAGTTTCAAACAAAGGCGTGTCTAGACAAAGCACAGAAAAGCCAAAATTAAGGCTAAAATCGTACACAATTCTATACAAATGCTAGGCATGTAAGAAAGAAAAAGAGGATAAAAAGGTTTCATTTAAATGAGGCTACAGGTTCCACATTATCAGAAGTAACAATACCTGGGACCATCTGGGAGGGGTGAAAAATTAAACAGAAAATGGTGACACAATTCCATTAAATCCTGGTGCACCAGTGTTTGGTCCTGACTGCCCACCAGCAGCAGCACTGCAGGATTCCTGATCTCTGCTCTGCCACATTGGTGACAGCTATCTATCCCAGCTTCTGAGGACCTCAGCAGGCATAAGCTCTTCAGTGCAGTTTGAGGTCATCTCACTGACAAAAACTGCTTAGAAGTCTGACTTTGGCATATTGCAGCATTAAATAGCCAGATACTCAGTCATGAGGAAGCCTAGAGAGGCAGAGTGCTACCTGGTAATACTTCAAGATACTTCAATTTTGACAGACTTAAAAAATAGAAGTTTGGTAGCAAGCCATTTGCACGCCTTGATTATTTTTTTTCTTTATATCAACCCTGTTCTCTGAGGTGAAGCAGTTTTAGAAACACAGACTTTGAGAGAGTGATTGTGTTTGTATGACAGAGCCTTAGCACAGCCCTGGCCACTGAGAGTGCAGAGTCACTCACGAGTGTGAAGCTGGGCATTGCCCCCAGGCACCCAGAACTGCTGGGGTGGGGATGTTTGTAACATCACTGTGCACCAAACCAGGCAGCCATGATGGCAGAAGAGCTGAAGAAGGAGCAGGACACCAGTGCCCACCTGGAGAGGATGAAGAAGAACCTGGAGCAGACAGTGAAGGACCTGCAGCACCGTCTGGAAGAGGCCGAGCAGCTGGCACTGAAGGGAGGGAAGAAACAACTCCAGAAGCTGGAGGCCAGGGTATGGTGAAGGCTTGGGTAGACTGAGGTGAAGTTTCTGACAGGGCCCTTGGTTTTTGGAACCTCTTGGGAGGGTGAAAACAGGGAAAGCCCCAGGTATTCCCAGCAGGTTTGATGAGAGCTGTCCTGAGTAGCCAAACATTGCACTGTGGTGATGAACTTGAGAGTGACCTCAAAAAAACTGAGTGGGCAAAAATGGGGGCAGATGGAAATCGGGGAGACCTAGATGGTAATTTTGTCTAGGGAATAATAGTTAAAGTCATATTTACTTGGGGAGGAAATTGGAACTGGTAATGGACAGACTTCAGAAGCTGTTGAATGTGCAATAGAAGCAAAAACTTAAAACAGAAAAATTTTTGGGCTTTATTAGGAAAGGCACTGAGAACAAGACAGAGTTGTATGGCAACACATTGTTGCCACTATATTAGAGTGCAGTTCTGGTCTCTGCAGCTCAGGAAGGATCTGCAAGATAAAGCTTTATCTAAACAAGACTAGGACTCTGCCATTTGGAGAGACCAGCCCATCTTCACCTTTAAAATAAATAAAAATAAATGCTTTACAGAGTAGGCAGTGAAATTCGGAAACCTGCTGCCATGGAAGGCTGTAGAGGCAGCTGGTAAAAGGCTCAAAAAGGGAGCAGAAATGAGCAGGTTTACAGAGGGGCACAGGCATAGATGTGCCACCTTACATCTCTAATTCAATGCCTGTGGAAGCTGACAAGTGGAAAAGGAACAGCAGCCAGGTTTCCATGCTGTCCCTAAACAGTATTTGCCACTGCTGCTCCCAAAGATATAAAACGATAGATAAAAAAATGAAACAGATTTTTCCCATTTACCTGCTGAACATTCATAGTACCTTCCCTTCCCTGTTTCAATTTCTTCTTCTCTGACATATTTAAGCCTAATTTTGACTACAAATGCTCTAGGTATGCACAGCTGAGTTCCTTTTATAAACAGCTATGGATTCACACACTGTGTTATCACCAGCAGAACATGGTGAGAATATTTTAGCTAGTCTAGACCCAAGAAGCAGCTTCAGGACACTGCCCTGCTCTGGCCCTTTTTCTGCAGCAGGATCAGCAGCCATTCTTGATTCTGTGTTTCAGATTAATGAGTTAGAAAATGAGCTTCATTCTGAGCAGAAACGGGGAATAGAATCCCTGAAAGGAGCTCGCAAATATGAACGGAGGCTGAAGGAGCTCACTTACCAGGTATTGCAAATCCCCTGCCCTCCCACGTGGATCACCTCTGCTCATCCACCAAGGCTGACTCGATTTGCACTTCCTACAGTCTGAAGAAGATAAGAAAAATATTCTTCGGCTCCAGGACCTGGTGGACAAGCTGCAGTTAAAAGTGAAAGCGTACAAGAAACAGGCTGAGGAAGCTGTGAGTGGAGGACTTTCCAGTGGGGAGTCTTTTCAGTGGGGCCTGGGTGGAGATTTCTGAAAGGTGGGCTCCCCTAGATCATTAAAATAATTGAATACTGAGTTTGACAGGGCAGCTAAGACCATTGCCTTTGAATATTCTTTATCATGGCTCGCAACAGAGCGGGCGTGGCTGTAGTTATCCTGGACCTGGTGCACTTTTGGAGCCACACAAGGCAGTTTTCCCACCTGGAGCTGAGTGGGGTGATGTTCTGCCCCCCGAGGGCTGTGGCTGGCACTAAACACAAACTCACGGAGTACTGGCAACGCTGTACCTGCGAGGCCAGCACAGGTCACTGTGGCACGGCCGCAGCTGTCAGAGGTGACAGGGCCATGCCATTTGTGCCGTTGGATTTCAGGAAGAACAGGCAAACATCAATCTCTCGCGGTGCCGCAAGGCTCAGCACGAGCTGGAAGAGGCGAAAGAACGAGCGGATATTGCGGAAGGACAGGTTAACAAGCTGAGAGCCAAAAGCCGTGACATGGAGGGCCAGGTGAGTCGGGGGCTGCAGAGGGACCCTTCCTGTGCAGGTGGTGTCACAAAGGTCCCTGCCCAAACAGCCACAGCTGCATTCCTCCCACTCCCACTGGAGTGTCCTCATAAAGAAAGGCCAGGAATTGTCACTTACTCAAAACCCCTGCACTTTGCAAGTGCTTCTGGTGCCCCACAGGAGTCAGACCAAATCAACTCTAAGAATCCAGGTCTTTCAGCACAATTGGGAGATATTACTTCTTCATTATAAAATGGCAGAACAATTGCAATAGCCACAGACCTGAAACAAAACCACAAATAACTCATTTGTTCCAATACCCTCTACATTATCTTTCTTTTTCTGTATTTAGAAATCAGAGAAATGAGGTTCCTGACCCGAGCTGCAGCAGGCTCCCTCCTGATAAAGACTTCTGTCCATCCAGCAGATATCCATTACTTTTTTCTAGTAACCCAGTGTGCATGTGTGTAACTGATATATTTAGCCAACCTTGAGGTGAAGCTGTGAGAAATTATACATATATATATATATATATATAAAATAAACCTGGGTGATGCTTTAGTGACTATATGGGCTGTTGATTCGCTATGAGATTGACAAGTGTGTGTCTGTCTGTCCGTCCATGTCTGTCCCTGTCTGTGTGTCCGTATCCCAGTCTATCTGCTCCTGTCTGTGTGCCCATGCCTGTCTCTCTCTCTGTCTGTCCGTGTCTGTCTCAATCTTTCAGTCTCTCTGTCTGTCTGTGTCCCTCTGTTTGTGCCTGTGTCCGTGTGTTCGTGTCCATGTCCCTCTGTCCGTGTGTCGATATGTCGGTCTGTCCGTCTGCCCGTCTGCCCGTGTGTCCGTGTGTCCGTCTGTCCGTGTGTCCGTGTGTCCGTGTCCCGGGCGGAGGCGGCGGCAGCGCTGCCAGGCGCAGCTGCAGCAGAGCG